AACGGCTCCAGCGGTGGGTTTCGCCCCGGCCCGGCCATGCCGAGCAGCACTAGGCCGTGCGCCCCCGGGCTGCTCTGCCCGAGGCGCCGCGAGCGGGACCGCGTCCCAGCCCCTGCCTGCAGCGCGGCCCTGCGACCCGCCGCCCCTTCACCGCGAGTCCCCCGTGTTCAACCCGGCTAACGCAGAAGGAAAAAACTAGCACAGGCACTCACATAACAGATGAATTTCAGAGGACACAATGAAACATGTTTTTAATAAGCTGCTTCCTTTCATTGTTTACAATGTCAGACTTGAAAACCAAAATCCCTCTGCCCCCCCCCCCCCCGCACTGACTCCAACTCCACCCCACCAGCATCTGAGCCGGGGAGAAAAACGCGAGACCGACTTTGTTCACGAGCAACAAGCAGCCTTTGGGTGAGGCAGGGAAAGAAAACGTCTCACTGACACATTTTCAACACAAGGCCAGTAATTTTGGTGCCCCCGCAGTTAAACACTTGTATTCGGAGATCCGAGGCCCGCTACGAAGGGCGCCGCGTACCAGTCCTACCTCTCCGCTTCAGTGAGAGCCCAGACGCTTAGCGCTCCTGACAATGTAGAGCCAAGGGTCCTCAAAGCACCCCCCTAAAGCGGGCGGCATCTGGGGGGATTTCGGCCTTCTGTGGAAAAGCCAGCGGTTGACACACCTTTGGGCTAGCCATGCTACCTGCGCCTGGGCCGCGCTTCGCCAAGAGCAGGGCGGGGGTCCCAGGTCCTTCCCGCACAGGAGACTCGAGGCCGAATCCTGCTCTCGGAGAAGGAAGCCGGCTCCCTTAACTGCAGCTGAATTTGTTTCCCGGTGGAGAGAGGCTCCAGCAGGATATAGCGATTCTGCACCTCACCCCGTCTCTTTTAGATGCAATATTTCGCAGTTCTACCTTATTTACGTCGTTTTAGCTATCTGATCACAAAAACGTAACACGCTCTGTCCTGATGCCGTTCGCGCCTCCCTTCTCCTTACGAGAGGGTGCAGCAGAGCAACCAAAAGGGCTGATATTAGCTCTAAAAAGCTCCAACATGCCAGTCTGTGTAAAACAGTCGAGATGTTGACATCGCTTACTCTTTTTTTTTTCAAAGCCACCTTTACATGCCTCTGCTCAAAGTGTGAGCAGAGGGGTGAAGAGCTCGGGCACAGCTGAAATCGGGGGAGCGGCAGCACCGTTTACACAACACTTGTGTGTGCCGCGAACGCCAGAAGCACACTCAGTAATAAAGCAGATGATACACACTAGACGCACGCACAAGCACCAGGAGACAGCACTGAAAGCATCGCCGCAGCATCCCACCAGCAAAGCTGCGCCAGGCAGAGCGTGGCGTTCGCAGCGGCATGGAGCACCGGGGACGCTTGGACCCCGGCTCTGGGAACGAGTCAGAAACGCTCCCCGGGCACAAGGAAAACCATTCGAAACAGGGAAGCTGCCTGCGGGCTGGTGGCAGAAAGCAGGGAAGTCGCTTGTTGCCTATTTACAGGTAAACGCTACAGCTCAGGAAATGAGCCTGATGTTAACAGGAACCACCAAACAAGCCTGCGTTGCTAACAGAGGCGCTAGGAATGGTCCTGGCGAGGAGAAACACGTATCCCTTCCAGAGCATGACTGCTGCTGAGGAAAAGGGATTACAGCAAATAAGAAAGTGGGTGCCTCTTAGAAGAACGGTGGGTTTTGCCCCACGTTGAGCGAGTTCCAGTTGCTCCCCACTCCCCAGGCTGGCCCAAAGCGAGAGCCGTGCTCCCCACTTGGGCAGCAGGAAGCAGCTCCTCATGGGGAACCGGCCCCGGGAGCGCAGGGGCTGGCCTGCTTCGCCCGGTCGCGCTCACTGAAGGTGACAGACCTCCCCGGTGCCCCCTCGAACGCCTGCTTCTGGCAGGGGGGTGGCTCCCAGTAAGTAATTCACACAAAACCCCTTGGACAACTGTGTTTCCCACCACACAGGATATCTGTTTCTCAGTACAGAGGCATGCTGATGAAGTAACGAGGCAAAGAGAATTCCCATAAAGCTCAGCATGACAATCCCATCCCCCATTCCCCCAATTCCTCTCCTGCCTGCCTTAGTACAAGCAGTATTTTCAGTAATACATACTACTCAAACATTGAAAAACACATTATAGCTTACTTAGCAAGGAAAAGGTAACATATTGGAAGGAGCTTCTCATGACAAGGAGGGCCAGCTCAAACTTCAGTCCGTTCTGTCCCTGCACCCAAGCACTGGGAATCAGTTCCTTGCATTTCGACTGCAGTGTCTCTGCAAGATCCCCCTTGCCAAGGCAGATTTCACAGAAAGTGAACAGGTAAATAGCTGCTCTCGTCCTCTGCTGTCCCTTCCATGCCTCATCGGATGTCCTCTGCTGGCTTTCACCCAACAGTGCAAATCCTGCTGGTCACCTGGGCGGGCAAACAACGAGCATCTTTACACATGGCCTGTGTAGAGAAGAATGATGGAAGGACTGTGAACGATTCAAAGCAAACAAGTAGGTAGGGTCTTCTCTCCATTTTTGGGCAGCAGGAAGCAGCGCCTCATGGGGAACCGGCCCCGGGAGCGCAGGGGCTGGCCTGCTTCGCCCGGTCGCGCTCACTGAAGGTGACAGACCTCCCCGGTGCCCCCTCGAACGCCTGCTTCTGGCAGGGGGGTGGCTCCCAGTAAGTAATTCACACAAAACCCCTTGGACAACTGTGTTTCCCACCACACAGGATATCTGTTTCTCAGTACAGAGGCATGCTGATGAAGTAACGAGGCAAAGAGAATTCCCATAAAGCTCAGCATGACAATCCCATCCCCCATTCCCCCAATTCCTCTCCTGCCTGCCTTAGTACAAGCAGTATTTTCAGTAATACATACTACTCAAACATTGAAAAACACATTATAGCTTACTTAGCAAGGAAAAGGTAACATATTGGAAGGAGCTTCTCATGACAAGGAGGGCCAGCTCAAACTTCAGTCCGTTCTGTCCCTGCACCCAAGCACTGGGAATCAGTTCCTTGCATTTCGACTGCAGTGTCTCTGCAAGATCCCCCTTGCCAAGGCAGATTTCACAGAAAGTGAACAGGTAAATAGCTGCTCTCGTCCTCTGCTGTCCCTTCCATGCCTCATCGGATGTCCTCTGCTGGCTTTCACCCAACAGTGCAAATCCTGCTGGTCACCTGGGCGGGCAAACAACGAGCATCTTTACACATGGCCTGTGTAGAGAAGAATGATGGAAGGACTGTGAACGATTCAAAGCAAACAAGTAGGTAGGGTCTTCTCTCCATTTTTATTTCCCTCTCTTCTAATTTCTTGAGCCACTTAAGACAGCATGCTCTGAAACTATCGTCCGGTAAGACAGCTGCTCTCCAGGGTCATACGAACTGGGAAAAATCTTAGCTGTGAGATGTCCATTTCACAAGCACAGAAAATCTCCTGGGTCCAGCCGGGCTTCGGTGGTTAAAAAGTCTGAAAGAAGGAAACAAGCATGGTAGCATGCAACAGCGAAAATTCCTCAGTGAGAGCAAAATCACAGCCAGAGCACAATCATACTTCAGCACCTGCATTTCATAGCGCTCATGTTTAGCCCCAGCTGTCACAGTTCCACTGGGAGGCGGCGCAGAGAACAGCAGAATGCTGCAACCTGGCAGCAGAACGAGCTGATTTACTCCATCCTGCCATACCACCATCCACATACAGAGAGAGAACAGACCACTTCTGGTCATTCTCTCTCCTTCTGCAAGGGTCTCCTGCAGGAAGAACATTTCTCCTGCTCTCTTTTTTGAGGTCCACAGTGCCTCCACTTGACTCCTACCACCCAATTTGTTGAACTTGTGCTAAATGTGTGCTTTTGGTTGATTACGGTTATTAACACATACCTTTAACCTCAGCTGTCATCACCTGGGAGCCTGCCTTGTGGTGATGAAGAACTATGCACAAGGAAGCAGAAGACAAGATAAAAAGAAATGAATACAATAAGCAAGCCTAAACTCAGATCCGAGAATCTAAATAGAGGGAGGGTTAACCAGTCAGGCCAGTGATATGTTTTCCAGTACGTCAGAAGAAATCACTGTCAGCACTAGGAGATACTCAACATTCGTCAGCTTTGAAAGACTTGAACGCAACCCTGCTTGCACTTTTGGCAGAGGTCAGTGATTTTTTGAGAGCAGGACACTGAAGCTTATTTGAGCAGATACTACCCTAAATGCAATTTACTACCACAGGGCATGTCACCCCAGTCTAGCTGGGAGGGCTGACGTTGATGCCAAAGCCATCACCCTGTTACACCGTATCTATTTGTGGAGGAACTGTGTGCTGCACATAGGTTATGAGTAGGTCTGTTCTTGCACCTGGAGACTACCTCGCACTTGCAAGAAGGAAACTGCTGTGATCTAACCAGCCTTTCTCATCTCTCCTATGATCTCTCTCATCTCTGCCCGTCACAAAGGCTGACAAATAAGTACAATATGCACTACGCTAACTTGGATTGACACACATGACGAGGTGAATCCATAAATATGTTTATTACTTAGCAGATTCATATTCGAGCTACAAAATCTGTATCTGAATTTATGAATATTTTGTACCTTGTGCTTTTTGTTTAGCTCCAGGGCTTTAGCTGAGACCTATCTCCTACCCGGGAATGCGACAGACAAGAAAGCAAGAGTTTGGGGCTTCCTGAAATGACTAGCTCTGCTTTAGAGGAAGAATCGTCCTATACAGAGGGCCTGCTTTTATTTACATGCCAGCTTTAGTTTCAGGCTTCTTACTTGCTGGTTCTTCGGGAAGCTGTCTCAAAGAACTTTGTCCTTGAGGCCACTCTGTAAACAGAAACAGGAAAAGTCATTTCAGTTGTCTGAGGATAAGGCAATTTGCTAGCTAGACATTATTTGTGTCAAGGAAAAGAGCAGTAGCATAAGATGATGTTGAGAACAATTGCCCATCACTTTCTAACAAAATCTTCTCTGTCTGAAGCAGCTACCATGCTCCTCTTGCTCTCAATTCCATTTCACTCTTCCCTCACGCAATTCAGACCAGAGACGGCACTTGATTGCTCACTGGGGGAGGATTGCCAGCAGACATTTGCAGTGACCATACCAGGCAACCGGCTGCTAGAGCCTTCAGCAGCCTCACACGGATGACACGGGAACGAAAATCGTACCTGTGGTTAACGTACTGAGCAGCGAGCTCAGCGACAAGACCCAGGTTCCAGCCTCCCAAACCTATCCTAGACTCTGTGGCTGATATCCTGGTATACTTAGTCACCTTTTTTTACTCCCATCGCAGCCAGCAGAATTTTTGTGTGGTTAAGAACGGAAAAAAATCTGATGATGAAGCTGATTTCCAACCAACTTTCTTAAAAGAAATCCAAGCTGGATCAAGCCTTTCATTCTTGCCCCCACTACTTTCTCCCAGGCTGACTTTCACTCCCACTGCACACTTTCTAAAGCCCTTCACAGGTCGCAAGGCGCTGAACTGCTCACCCGCAGGTATCTGCGTCGCCCGAGAGAGGCTGCTCACTTACACAGAAGAAGGCATTTCCTCTGCTGCTCCTGCTATCAGATCTGGCTTCTGCTCCAGCTTCTGAAGGACAGGAGTTCTGCACGGTGGGTCTGGAGGTCTGACTGGGGGACGTGTTATCACAGGCTTATCACCATGAGATCGTGGTTTGGGAACACCGTCACACTCACCTGCAGGGTCAAAGATTAAAAACACTACGTCTGAAACTTTGCTAGGGGACTAGAAGTTTGTGAGAATGCATTAAACGAGTTAGTGGACTCAGAAGCCTGCTACTCCAATAGCCTCCTTCTGACAGTGGCCACTAGTCAGAATTCAGCGAAAGAGAGGGAGGAAGAAGGCAGTTCTCAATCCACCTATCCCAGCACAGCCCTTCCTAACAGTAGAAAGAGAGGCTGATATTGGACCCTAGTGATGAAAAACTTGCTCTATTTACTGATTGTAAAGGTATTATTGGATGGCAACTACAAGTTTTCTTAACCAAAACCTGTGCAGCGCTACTCTTCAAAAGCAAGAGAAATAGCACAAATCAGAGATTACTGCAGTGCCTGAACCTCTGCTTCTCTAAGCTTTTATTTCAGAGACTAGGACTGCACTTTCCCCTCGTCCTTCCCTGGCTTTCTGCTCTCCTCTCAGGAGTATGTGGCTTGGCGGCCTTTCCTCCCCAAGATCCAGCTGATCTCATTATTCTCTTAACTCTTGATGACTTTGATCATTCAAGCCCTGACATCTCTAATGACCTCACTTTTCCTCCACTGCCCAGTACTCCAGAGAGTGTTTCCATATGAGAGCAATCATTGTGATCTTCTTTTATATAACCCAGAAACATCGTAAGGCTTGGGTTACTTCCCTTCCCTTTATTTTAGACATTTCCACAGCTAGGGAGTCCTGTTTCTGATAAAAATGAGTCTTTTTTTTTTTTAAGTGGTAAGATAATTAATTGCTGCAACGATTTAAGCAAGATCATGTCAATTCTTTACTTACTGTACTTTGGTCTGGTAGCTTAAAGAGCAGTCCTTAACTAAGTCTCTTCAGTCCTTGTAGAGGTAAATTTGGACCCCAAATTTTCTCTTTGATAAGTTGGTCCTTGAATTTCTCTGTAAAAAGGCCTGTTTTATAATCCTTCAGCCTATGAATCTTCTTAGTCTCTCCCGGTTTTTCAACATGATTCCCAAATTGTGGACACTAGAGCTCAATACAGTGTTCTAGCACCGATTTGCAAGTAACAACACAGATGTAATATAACTTTACTGCTAATTCAGTGTTCACTTATTTATACGTTCAAGATCATCACGGACAATTCTATTACGATGTCTCCAGGACATGCAGTCAGCACATTATAATGTAAAAACATAAAATTTTAAGTGCTAAATGTAGTTGATGTACAAGACAACTTTAAAAGCTACCTTACCATTCCAAAAGAAAATTTCTACTTACCATTTCTGTGAAAAATTTAAACAAAGCCAGTAGCATTAGTCAGCATTTTATGAATTTTATGTCTGTGCTATTTAGCCAGGCCTTTTATTCTTTCTCTTTATTGTACCCAGGAGTCATTTGTCAAGAACGCAGCCCAGTTTTTATTTTCTAAACACAGGACCATGAAGTCTGTTAAGAGTATGAAAGCACGTAAAAAGCACCAGAAAGAGCACAGGAAAAGCCGGCAAATTCCAGAAAATAATACATCTTCTTTATGTCCATTGTCTTGAGTATCTTATAAAACTCAGCACCAAATACATAATGTTACAGCAGTGCATACTAGCTCTCAAACTGCTTCCTGGCCTTGCAAAGGAGAATTTCTATCAACACACAGACACACAAATACATACGTGCATTCCTCCATTGAAATGGAGGATGCCAACTCAAATTTGGCTCCAAACTAATTACTTTTACATAAAATCAATTTCTGTATAAAGCTGATTAAAATGAAAATAGTTATATTTAATACAAAAGGACAAACTGTTGACATAAATGTTCCCTTAAGAGCCTTAATAAGCCAGACACCGTGTCTGTTGGTCTAAAGGACCCGACAGACAAACCGATCAGAAATTAAAACATGAAAGTGACTTTTGTTATTTTTCTTGTCTCTGCTGAGGAAAGAGCTAAATGTATGGAAAACTTTAATATTAGAGTACTTTTGGCTGTTCAGACTGGGCACAAATTACTCAACATTGAATTTTAATTTGATGAATTCACTGAGACAGGTCAAGCTCTGCAGATCCAGAGCCTTAGCTCCTGCTTTTAAAATCTACTTTATCTGACGCTCGTGGCAGCTATAAGGCTTCAGAAGACGAGGGTACAACGTCAGCGTCAGACACTGCTTGCTGCTCAGAAACCCGGCCCGGCGCCGTCCTCCACGGGAAAGCAAGGGGCCGAATTTACCCATCACCTGAGCCGACCTCCTGAGGAGCAAACTTACCCTCCCTGCCGTAAATCACAGGCCGAGGCGCCGGCCGCTTGGCATGGAGCGTGGAGGTCTTCAGAGCAGGGCCAGACACCACCCCGTTGGCAGACCTGCCGGCCAGCTTCGTCCCCGTGTCCTGCAGCCGGGACACCAGCTTGCCCACGTCGCCCTCGGCACGCTGCTCCAGCTGGCTCTCGGCGG